GTCCTTCGCTCGTAATTCACGTAAACATTGTTGTCACGTAAACAAGTTGAGGAGAAACCTTCGTCGCTCAGCTGCAAAATTGGCTGCAGAAGCAGGAGTCAGTCAGACATCAATGCGTAGAGTCCGCAAAGATGACCTCAAAACCTCCCCTTAGAAGATGCAAACAAGGCATGAACTAACAGACCGTCATGAACGAATGAGGCTCGAAAGATGCCTGCACATTCTGGATCTCATTGAGGATGGCACGCTGCCCAACTTAATTGGTGTTCAGTGAGGAGAAAAAATTTGACATTGAACAAAGCGTTAACCGTCAAAATGACAGAGTTCTGAGTCGGGATGGATCTGTGGCAACCAGAACAGCAACATGACAACAAAATCCCATGTCCGTGATGGTTTGGGCCGCGGTAACCGCCACTGGGAGGTCCCCACTTGTTTTTGTCCCCTCAGGAGTAAAATTGAACAGCCATCGATACATTTCGGACATTTTGGAAGCTGTGTTGTTACCTTGGGTCCGTAAACACTTCAATGGCTCACCATGGAATTTTCAACAGGACTCTACCCCATCACATGGCTCAAACATGACCCACAACTGGATTCAAGGTCACATCCCAGCGTTCATTAGCATAAATGAATGGCCCTCAAGAAGCCCTGATTTGAATCCTCTCGACATTTCTGTGTGGGCTATTTTAGAGGGTAGGGTCTGCAGAACACCTCATGATTCTTTGGATAGTTTGAAGTCTAAATTGACACGAGAATGGGATTTGATCCCTCAAGAAATGCTGCGGGTCTCATGTGAAGTTTTCCCGTATAGATTGGAGGCCGTCATTAAATAGGTGGTCACATTGAATAAATATGTATGAGAATTGTTTAGGTGATTCTTGGCTAATAGTATGGCGGACCAAATAAATATGGCAATAATATTTGAGAAGCGTTCTACTTAATCTTCAGAGTAAAAATCTCGCTAACTTCCTCTAGGACACAAACACTCTGATTCCGAATAATTTTATTGCATATCTGCAGAGATAAAAGTAATGGACAATATATCTATGGGCAAAATGTTGTACGAGAAAAAAACAGACCGAGGCTTACAGCTAGCATAGGTTGAATATACGTTAGAACCCGTCACAACTATTCAAGAACGTCGCTTCTAGTATTTGGTCAGGCAAATATTTTATTTTGCCAGACATCAGCACCAAAATACATTTAGCCAGAATTAGATGCGCGATGTTTCGCAGAAAATTGTGACAATACTACTACGATTGCAATAAACTAGAGCACAATCCCCAATCGAATAACTAGATAATTGAAATGACATGGTTATTTGTAAAAATCAACACTGCAGTGAATATGAACAACCGACACGACAATCTCATCAACCAATTTCGAAAGCTTCACATTTTATGTTGAAACGATATTTTCTCAAAATCGGCATTCGATCACTAATGCATCGGTCGGTTTCTATTATAGTGTTGAGTTGGTTACTAATTTACCAGCCTCACTCGATATAGCAATACTACATTTTTGTTGTCACACCGTAACACGGCGAGCCACTGAAACAAGTTTCAACTTTTAGTCTGCATGCAAATACAGCAGCAAGAAATGGCATCGTCAAGCATAAGAAAACCAACAGTCATTGCATTCTTCTTAAAACTGAGCAGCTGACTTCTATTCAATTACGACCAATAAATAATTATTCTTAACACATTTCATATAGCGTAAAAATCATTAGAAAATTACACTGACGAAAATTCAATCATATTTCTTAAAATTATGTTTCTTCCACGAGTAATACTGCCGTCTTCTATATGGGACTAGTACGTGTTCCATTCTTATTGTGGCATGGTTAATGGGAGCTCACAAGGTCAAGCAAACGTAGGTATATCAAATTAACATACAACGGTTAAACAAATTAAGAGAAACACCTGAGAAATTCACAAAATATATTTTAGTATGATGTAGCCTGTAGGTCTACCTTTTGCGGCAATGGCAGCCTTAATTCTCCGAGGTATTGATTCTTACGAATTGTGAATTGTTTCCAAAGGACTTTTAACCCCTTTATCAGTTACAACTCCCTCCAGCTTTTGGAGACGATGGCGGCGGGAATAGACTTCTGACTTGCCTCTCTAAAATCAAACATAAATGCTCAATAATATTCAGGTCTGGTTATTGTGGTGGCCAAATGAGATGCTCAATTCCATCAGAATATTCCTCGTGCCATTTTTTAACAATTCCAGCTGTATGGATCGAGGCATTATCATATTGGAAAGATGGCCTTCCCTCCCGGAAACAGTGCTTGAAGCATTGGATGAACTTGGTCCTCCAAAATTCCCTCATAGTCACGGTTGTTGTTTCTTCAATGAAGAGAAATCATTGGTCCTCGGGATTTCCAAGGAATTTAACCCCAGATAATCGCAGATCCCCCGCCATGTTTTACGGTTGGGAGGCAGTCGGGATTAAATGACTCTTTTGGCAAAACTCCAAACGAATCTCCAACGAAACTCAGCCAGAGGTTGGAAATAAGGTAAACGATGATTCGTCAGGGGAAAATCACATTTTTCCACTCCTTGAGGGATCAATTTGAGGTTTTTACACCACTCTAAACGCTTTGAAGCATTTGTATTTAAAACCAGAAGTTTTCTTTTTGCAGAACTTCCATAGAATCCAGATAAGTGTAGCTCTCGGCGGACAGTCTTTATGGAAACAGGGTTCTTTATGTGTCCAGTGAGGTCTGCAGTAATTTTAACAGCCGCTGTCTTTCGATTGTCTCTAACAATTCGATTTAGGTACCAACGGTCTCTCTCAGACAACTTCGACTTGCGGCCAGACCTGTGCTTTGCTGAGGACGTTTTTTCTTCTCTTCCAAAGCAGTCATTACTTTTGAGACACTACCTCTAGAAACGTCGAGCATTTGAGAAGTTTGTCACACTAGCACCTGCCATACGGGCACCAACAATTTGGCCTCTTTGAAAGTCAGAGAAGTTTGCCATTTATAGGTTATGGGTTAGGTTATAGACACAATAATTTGTTAAAAATATCTGTGCAATGATAAAATATCAATTAACTGCAACAATAAACATTAAAACATGAAAATATGCCACGCTTAGTTTTCATTGTTTATAACAGGTTAAAAAATTACGATATCAAAATGTCAGGTGTTTCCATATTTTGTCTAACCCCTGTTCATCAGATATATCAAATATCAAATAAACATAGCTCTAGTGTTCAAATATGCAGAAAATTATTTATTTCAAATTAAACTCTCATTTGGGAGAGCTGATAGGCCGGCTGGGAACGCCTAAAAAGTAATAATAATAGCATGCAGCCCCACGTGCATGGTGGTCAAAAACGTCTCGTACAAACAAGATCTGACTAATGAACGTACATATAACATATCACGATAAATAATAGAATATCCTTAGTGTAGGAAACGCTTTCAAAGCACACAAAGCCTATAACAAAAATGCATTAAAAAAAAGGCCAAAAATGCATTAAAAAAAAGGCCAAAAATGCATTAAAAAAAGGCCAAAAATGCATTAAAAAGAGCGGCTTTGTCGTACTTTGGCACAAAGATGAGCGTTGGGCACACAGAAGAGCCTTATTTGATCCCTTAAGTTTGATTTTTGCACACAAATTCTAAATACATGTTAATCGTAAACTAGGCAATTAATTTGTGATAAATAGTATTATGAGGTTTCAGGTGCGAACGGTCACAAGCTTTATACAGATTATTATTGGGAAAAGTTCTGTTCTCTCGTTTCTCTTGCTGTAGTGAGCAGTGTGACCGATTGAAATTCTAAAAATGCTCAAAATTAGTTAACTTACGGTATTATTATCTCAGAGGAATATATAAACTACAATCTGGAATCAGTTAGCAGATGTCAATGACACACTTCAACACGACGAAGATGCAGAATGGGCTATCTCATCGCTACAGTCATTGACTGCTAGAAGAAATTACCAACAAGAATGAAAAAAATTGTATAAGATGCGTTCCAAAATGAACGGTATCGCAACATTTTACTCTTATGAATTGGGAAACTACTTTACGCCTTGCGGTAAGAATTTACACCGCAATGAAATCGATGAGTCTGTTAAACTCAGTTTCGGCTACAGCATGAGGTCGAAATAATGCGTTTTTGACAACTTTAACAAGCTAGGACTAACATAATTTATAACAAAACTTGGCTAGGCCTTGTATTTAGGGACTCCTATCGAGCTCACTACAAATCCACATCGTAATTTTGTATCATCATAATCCACATCATAAGCTCACAAATCCAAGAGGACACGAGGCCAAAGGCGACCTACACTATGGAGGACGCACAAATACAAGTCAGCGCTAAAACCGAATACCCAGACGAAAAATTTAGAAACAGAGAGCAAAAAAAAAGCAAGGGAAGACTCTTCATGAAGAAGAGTGGAAGCGCTGCATGTTAGCAGCCTCAGGTTTAATACTGACTCATAATATTCACATACTTGTGCATAAAGTTACTCAGCATGACGCAAAATGAAATCCATGACAGAGCACTTGACGTCTAAAATTATTTACTGAAGCACTCTGAATTAAATGAACATTGAAATAACCAGTTTAATCACTTAATTACGCTGTGAATAATCGGTTTACAACTTTTCTGGAGTGGCCTTTACCCGTTTCATAAACATGCCTCGACTAGTTTTGAACATTTTGCCAACACCGAGAAGTGCAGTTAAAAAGTGCGTCTTGCACGCTTATGATATGTCGAATGGTGACCCTTACATACTAAGCAATCAATGGGATAGAAATACTAAGGCAATATTGCTAAGAAAGCAATGTTTCAAAATTAGCAAATTACAAGCTAATATGTTAGAACATGCAAGTTGATTTCAAGGCAATATATATGTAGTGCAACAAAATACAAACTTGAGTTTAAAAAAGCTGAAGTCACAATTTTAAGTCGCGAATAAAGATAACCAATACCAAATAATCCAGGGGCATGGATAAAATTCTGCTAATTGAGCATGGATAAAATTCTGCTAATTGAACAACAAATTTCACCGGGAAATCGAAAATTAGATAATCTCATAGCTACCGACAATATACTAAACGGCTAACACTAATAGCTGCTAGAACGACAAATATTTTGATTTGGAATCGTCTTTCTAAACTTCAAGAGATCCAAGTAGTCAGGCAAAATTTATCAGTACTAACTCTAAATGCTTGCGTATGGAATCTTAAGAGCAATACTGGGGGCGGTCGAGAGAGGAAGAATCAACGCACGTCAGAGCCGCACGCAACACTACTACAGAAATATTTCAATCTGATTTAAGCGTTGAAACGCGAAACCTCGCCAAAATACTTCAATAGTACCTCAGAGTATAAACGAGGTCGTCGGGACATAGAATGCCTTAATTTCACTCTTCACTCTTATCAAACGTGCTTCTCAGCGATGCACATGAAGAGAACATGAAACTAATTATATAATTTATCAGCTGACCAAAAGAAGTGGTGAATTTATCTTCAACTGGCAATTGAAGAGTAGTTTGATTCAATCGTCATGGCGTGAACCAGGCTAGTCCTTCAGGAGCCATCAGACTCAGGGGCTGCAGCCCATCCAATAGAAGACAAGAGCGCGTCTTTAATGGGCTGGTAATATTGTACCCGCAACAGAAGCATCTCTGGTCGCGACCGCAGGCCGTGCAACAGTCCTGCAGGCTTGCTCTCCAACACACACACCCCAACCACCGCCACCAACAGCACAACGCAGACCAAAACTCGCACAAACACGTTCAAGAAACCAAACGCGCGCTGCCAAAGAGATGTCCTCTGCAAATAACCATAGATGTTGGCCACGTGTCTCGACTGGCGCTGGTCACTGACACGTTGGTCGTAAGATTGCTGGTCGTAATGAGTGGCGGCACTAGAAAAACGGTCGTCGTGTGCAACATAAGGATATGGTTGGCGGTCCTGTGCGCATGAGGAGAGGTAAGGGAGGCTATGTGCAGAAGAGTACAGCTGAGGAGAGGCGTGAGGTCTGGGACCAGGTGACGGATGAAGCTGAGGAGTGCCCGGCATATGGAAATCAGCTAGGCGAGAGTTTGGCGAACGGGGAAGAGACCCGTAGCGTAGAGATGAGCCACCTGATGTAAGTGTTGCAAGTTAGCGAAAACTCGTACACAAATGAGATAATAATAATGATAATAATAAGAATAAATAATAGCGTTTAGTAGGCCGTGGGCTTGTCGCAGATTCTTAACATGGCAGAACATTCATAGCACTTTGCCGTCTCGAACTCGCAACTCACTGCTACAATTCTGCTGTGCTTAACCGCCCGGCCTCCTTGCTGATTCTGACCAGAAGCTGGCGCACAGAGCTGGGATCGAACCCGCGCTCTCTGCGCCAATCATGCGGACATAGATGCTCTTCGCGTCGATCACAAGGTTTGATTAAGGGCAATATAGGTCATAAGAACGATATAAAACGCCCGTTCGGAAGTTTGTGGTATCATTTAATCAATGGTCGGAATTAAACAGCAGGAGAGTGAAATGAAGTTCTATTCAAGGGAATAAATTATGAAGTTCAGAACGAGTTAATTTCTAAATCTTCAAGGATGTCTGGAATACCTACTCAATTTACTATAAAATGCTTGAAATAGAAACAGGAGGAGCTGCATTGCCACAATGTAACCGATTATTACAGCTGATAGTATTTACAGTAAACTCCGAAATTCCATAAAAATTTCTCTAAGTTGTGTCTTGATCGATTCCCAGGAGATAAAAGGCTTTCATTTTCGTTCACTTCGCTTTGTTCGGTTCGGTCCTAATTTAGGCCGTACAGGAGGGAAACTAATCTTTTCCATCTTATGTGATATTTGTTTAACGAGCCAGTTAGGCACAGCAATTCAAAAAATATATTATTTAACAACAATTGGGTCACACGTTATGAGAAGAATCTTAAGACTCGATTCTTCTTTGTTACCCACAATGTCGACAAAACTCTTCACAAAAAGTAAAAATCCTCACTACCTTTTCATGACAAAACGTAATGCAAGTCGGACCTTCAGGTGTAGCAGATCGTCGGTGTGCGAGAGCGGGGTGCCCGGCAGGTGAAGAGTTAGGGGTGCAGAGGTGCGTCGAGCCGTGATGGTGCAGCAGCTCGGGGTTGCAAAGGTGCGTCGAGCCGAGGTGGTGCAGCTCAGGAGTGTTGTGGTGACGGTGCAGGGACGTCTGGTCTTGTGGTGAGGGTGGTGTGCCTGAAGCGATGTGGCGGGGCAGCGATCCCGTGTGGTGATAGACATCGGCGCTGGCGTCCTGGGGCAGGTCTATGGTGTGGCTGCGACTGTAGGCACCGCGCGACCCTGGCGGCAGATGAAGCAGGTTAGCAAAGCCACTACACGTGAGAAGCAAACAGAACAAGAGTGCTACAAAAAGCACATGACTACTATGATAACAAAACGAATACATCAAATGCTATACCTTAAAATACACAGACAGAAGGAGTCACGAATATAATCAATATACTTTTATTACCAAACTGCATACGTATGATGGGTGGAACGAACGCTTAAGATCACTGCCATGAATGCATGACAGTGATCGTATTGATGTACGGTAATGTCACTACCAGCGTTGATATATCAGTGAACACTAAAGCAATTGCCCATTGCTGGCAAAATATTTTTGCAGACCATATGCTTGCTACTACTGAGTGCAGGTCACTGCCACGGCTTAGGACCGCCATGAAGTGATCCTAAACGTAAATTGCAGTAATTCTTAACAATTATTTATGAAATCCAAATGAAGGTTGATTTGACATGCAGAACTATGAGAGCATATCAACTTCAGGAGAAAATAAACGCAGCTCAACAAGGAACTCACAGGCAGTGTGCAGCGCTTGCTCGTCCTCATGCGCCTCCAGCGCCTCAGCAGCAAGTGCCTCTCCAGCCTCTCCGGCCTCAGCACCACCAGGCTCCAGCAGCGGCGGCAGACTCGACTCGGGGCAACACGACACGCAGCGCGACCCTGAGCAACATGAAGGGAGTGACATAGTGCAACAAGAGGGACATGGTCACTTGTGTCATCCATATATCCAAGTCATTGAAGACCGCTGTGCCTAGAAAATTCATTCAACATTGAACAATAATGACACTTGAAGTGAATTCTAGCAAGAGAAACTAAATTCATGGTCGCGCGCAGAGCGTCGGCGTTACCCGAGTGGGGCGTGGCGGGGGAGACGCCCCCACAGAGCGCCTCATCGTCCAGGCTGGCGCTGCGGTCGATGTAGGGCAGGCGGCGGTGGGCAGCGGCGTCGTCTGTAGGACGTCAGTGACATGTGACTTGTGGTAGGGATACGTTAATGTGACGCCCGATACGTTAACTGACGTCACTTTACCAATAAAAAGTCAACAAAAACCGCCGTGTTAGACTGACGTTAGCTTACCAGTAAAAAGTCTACAAAAACCGCCGTGTTAGACTGACGTTAGCTTACCAGTAAAAAGTCTACAAAAACCGCCGTAATAGACCGACGTTAGTTTACCAGCAAAATGTCAACAAAAACGCTCGGGAGACATCCAGTCTAAGCTGCTCAAATTTAAGCTTTAGATGCTCAAATTTAAAATTCCAGTTCAATGCTGTGCATGCATTTAGAGAACAAGGTGTGAAACAGATAAAGTATAGAACCAGCTGTAAACGGTTACCATATTTTTACATTTTTTGTAAAAGAAAATACTTTTAGCTCACGTGGATTGGAATTTGGAAAATTTATTATTTGTGTCAATTTATCATAGCATCATTACGCTTTATATTTCTTATGATTTCACAATGCGTATTTCTCCTTGAGATGATGAATACCACTTGCGATAAAAAAAAAAGAACTTAATCGTAAATTTACTTAATAATTAAATTTAATTGTAGATTTACTTAATAATTAAACAGTTTGTATAATTTAACTGGGGACGCTCGCGGATGCACAGTCCAGAGGGTGCAACGCTTAAAGAAGGCCTCACGAATTTTTTACAATCCAAGAATTAAAGCGAGCTGCTCAATGACTGATGCAAGCTACACTGAATTGCTAGATTTTCGACGAATAATTCAGAGGAAATGTGGCGGCAGGGTCGTACATGTGGTGACAACACCTACCTGAGACAGCAGTCTCAAGGCTCCAGGTCAAGATTCCGTAAGTTATAACATACACTGATTGCTATAGCAAATGTCATACCATTAACAATTGCACATCCACAAACTTGATGAGCCAATATTAAGTTACACAACAGATTAAATATTAATTAGTGTCAACAAGAAATTCCCTAAGGATCCCCTGTCTATGACATTCATGGGTAATTCAGATGACAACAATCATCATAGAATGACATGGCGTCACCTTGGTCATCCCCATCGTTTGGGTGCTCGGGGTCCGGGGGCGTCGTGGGCAGGGAGTTGCTACGGGGAAGCAATTGGGGCGCCCGCCGCACTCGGGGAGCCTCTCTGCAACGCGTGGGGAAAAGAATATTATAAATACCTAAAGATTATTAAAACTTGTATACCTCAGAATATACAACTTGTAAATACCTAAATCCATAGTGCAATTTTTAGAAATACAAGTAATGTATAAGTAAAAGCGAATTACACTAATGCTGTTTTACCGTGAGCGAGAAAAGACTACCGAATTCTGCTGTACCGCGAGCAAAAAGACGTACAATGAAAATGTGTAAATATAATATATAACTGAAGCATGTAATTAACATTTGATATAGGGGTCAAGGGACGTTAAGCAGACGTAGGTAGCACGTCCCACAACTCGACAAGAGATGTAGCTTGTGTGAAAAAAATAATCGGCATCAGGGCTCATAAGAAGAATTAGACGTTGATGCTGCTAGGGACTCTGGATGCGGCATTGAGAGCGGCCTGAACTTGAGGGTATGGCCTGCACCTGAGGGTACGGTCTGCACCTGAGGGTACGGCCTGCACCTGAGGGTACGGCCTGCACCTGAGGGTACGGCCTGCACCTGAGGGTACGGCCTGCACCTGAGGGTACGGCCTGCACCTGAGTGAAATATAAGGCGTGCACCTGAGGATGCCGGTGCTGTCGAGGATGACCTCGCGCTCGCAGCGGCCCTGGTAGCGAAAGCGCGAGCCTCGCGAGAAGAAACTGCCACCCGTCACCACCACGCCACGCTTGCTCGAGCTGGACAGCCTGCGGGACAGGGCAACTCTGTATCAATGGTCATTCTATCAAATTAATTACGAGTTCAGAACTCCGTCTGATAATAACTGATGGTTTGCCAAGATAAACCCGTCAACTACGGACAAAAAACAGACGCCAGGACTACTGTACTTAGGCTGCTACATGTACTTAAGCTGCTACGTGTGCTTGGGCAGCCACGTGTACATGGGCAGCCACGTGTACTTAGGCATCTACGTGTACTTATGCTGCTGTGTAATAAGTCTGCTAGGATTGGGAGTTCCTTAGGATAATGATGCACTTACACCACAACAGACACAGCAGCCCTAGTTCTCTAGGATTATGATGCACTTACACCACAACAGACACAGCAGCCCTAGTTCCCTAAGATTATGATGCACTTACACCACAACAGACACAGCAGCCCTAGTTCCCCAAGATTATGATGCACTTACACCACAACAGACACAGCAGCCCTAGTTATCAAGCATTGATATGCACTTACGTGTAGAAGAGCCTTTGCTCCACAGCAGCCCTCCACAGATGCTTGCAGGCAGACGCCGAAGAGCACTTGAACCCAACTGTGTGCTTCGTCTGCAAACAATCACTCGCCATATTTGATCATCTAATAATAATTGGATGCGTTATCTAGAATCCTTCGGGTAACATCAAAAATAGTAGGTAGTAAATGTTGCACCAAGTAATGTAACACAAAATTCATTTCAACCTCTCCTCATCATTTATCAAGAATATTTTGCTGTTTGACAACAAACAGCTAGTCTGAATGAACCGTCTAAAAAGAATAAATTCACTGTTTGCCAAGTTTATTTGCCTTATGAATCTTTAACATTGTCATCAACAGGGTTAAACAGTTCACACTGTTCAAATATTTAGGATTATAAAGGAAGTCAACCCTCTACCGCCGTATGTCACTCTCCGGGAACATAATTTTCGACTTGAATTATGCATAAACCATTGAGTGTATCAGCCTGAGGACGTTTGTATGCATCAGAGAACATTTTAAAATTGTCCTACGTGGCGGCAACCATCAGTGCAAGTCATTTTGCGCTCACTAGAACGTATCCTTTATGGGCAATAGGCTTGTGACAATATTGCTCCGTTTACTCATGTCAGTCGGTAGAGGGTTAAATTATGATTGCTTTTTACATCAAAAGCACATGAATTTAGATCAACGTGATGATTATTAACAACCTCAGGGCTCAGAAGTTCAACAACAAAAAAATAGATATCTGTGTTACTCATGTCAGGCGGTAGCGGGTTAAGTTAGGATTGCTTTGTACATCAAAAGCACATGAATTTAGATCAACGTGATGATTATTAACAACCACAGGGCACAGAAGTTCAACAGCAAAAAATAGATATCTGCAAGATTAGTTTACCTTGGTTCTGGGATCCTGCAAAAGCAATCCAGGCAAGCGTGCAAGAGAAGAAGAATTTCAGAGTGGGTGACAGCAGCAGCAGCAACTCAAGCCAACCTCACGCACTGATCAACAAAAATTTGTTTAATTTCAGATGACTTAATGAGGCAAAAGATGACTCAATGAGCACTCTTTGCTATTGACGCTTATTTTGCATGATTATATAGTGGTGTAAAATTAGTGTGGTGTAAAAGAGTGGTGTAAAATTAGCTTCATCTAATGTAGTTTACAAAGAATCTCAGTCAGTTTCTAAGGAAAGATTCATAATGAGTTACACCATAACATTTAAAAAGGGTTTAATGCAGGCAAAAATGATGAATAGAGAATGAGTAAAATTACAATGCATGAAGCAATACAAACTTTAAATGCATCCAAGAAAATGATTAAACATGTAGCTGAGGTGTAAATTCGGAAGGTGAAATATAATGAACGAGATATCCCGCGTGAGGCTTCATATTTTTCCATTTTTATTTCCTTAGAAATTAAAGAAAAATGGAACATAAATTTATTGATGCTATAAACGAGAATTATAAACAATTAGTTCAGATTGAAACATTGAGAGATAGAGACATGAGCACCTCCATGATGGTGATGTGCGCGATGAACATTTTGCCCTCATAGTTCAGACGCTGTACTTCATTCCAGCGGAAATGCTGAGTTTTCTTTGAGCCTTGAAACGTGAGAAGTCCAGAATGGGAGAGTCCTAGGAACACTTGGTTGCCTTTCTGATCCTGCAACACAATGCAAAAAGTATAACACTTGGTTGCCTTTCTGATCCTGCAACACAATGCAAGAAGTATAACACATGGTTGCCTTTCTGATCCTGCAACACAATGCAAGAAGTATAACAAATTGTGCTGTGTGCGTCAGCCAACTGCGTTATGTAGACTATGGGAAGACATGCATGATAATTTTATTTTCCAGGTTTCCAATTTAGACGAAATTATAAGGCTTTTCTCAAGACTTCAGATTATTTAAACAGTTGTGATTTGAGTTGATGTGCTACGAGTATATCTCTGATAAATACAAACTAATTAGAACCTTATTTCCTCATTTATTACCCATATATTTAATTACGGAAACAGACACAAGGTCAAATGGCCATGACGTCATAGGCGATTTGCAATTCTTTCGTTGGGTATTGACAAAGACAAACAAAGGAGTAGCCACTCGCCTTATCGTTTCACTAGTTTCAACTTATTTCAATCAATTTTGAGAAAAATTACGCAGGATATTCGCCCTAACTCTAACTTACTATCAAAGGGCATCCAATCCATGCCTACCTTGACTGGGTGAGGATCGACGCCATAGGTGTCGAGCGCAGCAGCCTTTTTAAGAAAGGTTGTCTCGGCTTGCGATGTCGAGAGGCCCGCGAGCGTCGCGTGAATTTCTTCGATCTTCTCCTCCAGCTTGGGCGTCTGGCGCGCCAGCAGCTGGCATTGCTGCACGTAGCCTTCAGGCTGCTGCGAGTGATCGCCCAACTCGGCTGATCAAGAAACAAGTAGAAATGAAACAACTTTAAAAATTATATTGATGAAAGAACAATGATATTTAATGAAACAATCAGAGAACTATGTTTGATGTAACAACCAGAGAATATTTAATTAATTAAATAACAATAAAATATTGTATGCAACAAAAAGAAAATGATATCTAATGAAACGGCCAGAGGCAGTTTAATAGCCTATATTCAATGAAATAAATAAATATAGAATTAAATTACATATAGAATTTATTAACTTAATATTTAATGAAATAACCATAAAATATTTTATGCAACAAAAAGAGAATGAAGGTGAATGAAACGACCAGTGAATGATGTGAAACAAAAAGCCGTAATTTGACGTCATCTTGCACTGAAGAGATGGTATTTATGAGGCTCTGTCAAAGTATGTTAGCCATGGTCCATCAGTAGGATTGACAACTCTACACTGGAGCCAGAAAACATTAAAATTATATGATCATTTTCATGACCAATTGTTTCATCCACCATCAAAAGGGAGGACATTAGACTACATTAAACTGCGCATTATTGGAATTATAGAGGTGGATGAGAAAAGTTCAGGAGCTGCTTAACATACATTCAAGCAATGAGAGACACTGTCCAAATAACGATGCATTTTTTGCTTTTGTGTGGGTCATCCTGACCCAGTTCAGCCAAGCCAAGGGGCAAATCAGTGCTACATCTGCTCTCTGCTTGTGCTGTTGCTAAATAGTGAGTAACTACTTGGACACTATTATTTTTATGAGTGTAGAAGATGCCCAGCACTGACCCTGGAGCAGAAGGGCGGCCAGGTGGGCGGCGTCCGCCTGCTGGCAGTAGAGCCGGCCGTGCAGCAGGTCGCGTCGCAGTTGCAGGAAGAGCTGATAGCGCGATACTTCCTCCTGCAGCTGCAGCGGCTCACACGGGTAGAACTTCACACGGAAACACAGCAACAGCGGATGCACTCCTGAGCAAAGATAGTGTTGTCATAATGATTGGTTAGCAAAGACAGGATATAGAAACAATCACACGGGTAGAACTTCACATGGAAACACATCAGCAACTTGTGAATTTCTGAGCATAGCACCACAATAATGGCTGGTTAGCAATATCGTTCTTAGTGATACACCCACGACAACATAGCACTGAAACTCAACAAGTTGACAGGTTGAAAATGCACTTTCAATACCATAATGCTCTAGTAAGCATATAGACAAGGGCTCAGATTCAAATGTTTCTTTGATTGTTGTATGCCTGAGTTGCAGGAAATATAAAAAAAACAGATGACCAAAATGAAACTTCCAGAGAATACAAATTTGACTATTTTGAATACAAATGCAAATGCCTAATTATGAAATGTATAATGTAGACAAATGTTTGACACAATAATTAGTTATCAATTAATTAGTGATTAGGGAGGCTATTACAGTGTGGGGCTTCCTGGCAAAACTGAAAGATACCACCTAATCTTTTGCTACTCAAGTGTTGAAACACTCCAGATGAGACGTGCAAAATCTTAGTAGGCAGAATGTCAATACTAAACAATTGTATATCATATGGAGACTAACCATTCAGATTAAAGATTGTAAAAAAATTACATATTGTTGCTATATTTATAATTCAGATGACAAGTAGATACTCACAAGACAGTCTGTCAACCTTTTAAATTAATCTTTCACATAAATTCAAGGGAAATTTATTCCAAATTTCTAATTCAATTACTATGTTACACACTTGTCTGCTTGAGGCAGTTCAATATATACCTATAGCTTCATTGTTTTTAATTGCATTTGAGATCTATTATGTAAAGCAAGTAGTAGAATTTTGATCTCTGTATGTATCAAAAAATTATTTTATGGACTCTAAACATTCAGCAACAAATCTGATAATGTTTTTTAAATCTCAACCTATCAAGACATTAAAATCTTCTTTGAAATTGTTTAGGATATCATAAATCATTAGCTCATTTCCTTCTCCAGCATCATGCTGATGACGCTAATCATTAATTAAGAAGCATCTGAGGCTTGCAACAACTAGTTAATATGAAAATATCACTCTGAAGACACAATAATAGGGTAATAATCCATAAAGATTATGGATAAAACAGAAATATAACAAAATTAATGTAAACCAAAAATATTTTCAGGGTAGAGAAGATGAGCCATACCTTTCATTTGCCTGAGAATGCTCCTATTGGGATCAAGCCAGTGCTGCAATAAAATAAGCAAGCATTAGTCTATACAAGCTATATTGATAGATAACCTCTTGCTTTAAGCTACAAGGAAAACAGCACTAACAGTCAAACTCTTTGCACTACTTGAAAATGCTTTTGATCAAAATGCCTGTCATTCAAGCTACAATATTTTAAAAAATTATGAAGCAAACTAGTGTATGTATTGATAAGATACACCAGTCCAAGTGGCATAATTTTGATGAACCAAACCCACCTCACAACCTTAATTTTACAGTAATCCAATCAGCAACCCAAAAATGATATTTACTTTTTGGGTTGCCAACTTTGCCTTGCACAAGCCAATCCAATGAGTGATAATTTGCATAACTAGCATAATGTGAAAAGCAAGTGCAATATATATAGGTGCATTTACAGTGTCAAAAATTTGAAGCAGAAATATTTCAGTGTCCTCATTACAGTCAACAGTAATACCTAGTAATTTTCAAACAAGTGCTTCAGTAGTGTCTGGTACATTTTCATTTTTACATGCTTCTCATATAAAAGAAAACAAATTTGAACAGAAAATTTTCTCAACTTGGGCACCCTACACATTGGAAGTATATATAGTCCAAGTCTAGTGTAAAGCCCAAATTGAAAACCTGAATTTGCCAATTTTCACAATTAAAATCTTTACAACCTTTAAACCATAAGAAATAATGTATGCACTGTAATAATCAAACAGTGCTCAAGCATTAAACCTTCTCCATCCGATCCAACCAATAAAAAACTAAAAAAAAAAGAAACTCAAAGCTGTGCTATTTCAAACTGATGGAAACTTTCTTGTACAAAATTTTTATAATGGAATTGTCAGAAAAGCAAATTGAGACCATACTACTTACCCTTTGCTTATGTTGATCCACATAGCGCAATCCAAAATAATCACCTTCAATGAGGTTTAGGCGGTTAAAGATGAAATCCAATAGGTATCTCCCTTTATGGTAGCTCTGAAAAACAGAATTTGTTATGCTCCTATAATAATAAATAATGGGCAGAGAACTTGAACATAGCAGAGACTTGCATGAACTTTCTCATACTAAATTCAATAATGAATTCATTAGCAGGTACAAGTGTAGAGGAATAATACCCTTACATGGGTAATTTAATAAATAATTGACATAGGTAGCTTGCTGTAATATACAGATGATTTTAAATAAAGAAATATTTTATGCAAATTAATTTTCATATATTTGAACATGATGCTAGGTTAATCACTACCTATATTACATAATAGGAACTTGTGTTTTAACCCTGCAGTAGTCACATGCAAGAACTGAGCAAATTGGTCACTTTTTAGTTCGGTTTGTGGCAGCTAATTTTTGTAGGCAACCACTGTAGAGTTAAAGCTATTATTTATGGAGTGGATCCAATTTAAAACAATTAAATAAAATCTGAAGGAGAAGCAACTGGGTATTCTCAAAATCATGTTCAATATTTATGGAGTGGATCCAATTTAAAACAATTAAATAAAATCTGAAGGAGAAGCAACTGGGTATTCTCAAATTCTGGGTGTTCAAAACTGAATGACTAGAGATTACTGTCAAATGGGGTAAAAAGGGACGGTTTTGAGAGTTTTCCGTTAATAACTTCTTACCATGAAACATTTCATGAACGAGTTTGGGCTCATTTTAAAGGTCTTTGCGAGGGCTATTGCATGACTTCTCAGAAAAATTTCCATATGCTATTCTATGTGCCAGACGCAAATAAAAGCTTCCCAAACTACCCCTGGTAACAGAGTAATTTGGGTCACTCAAAATAAAAACTAATTTTAAAATGTTTGAAGCATGCAGAGTGTACTCCTCCATTACTAACAGGACTCCAGAATTCTCCTCATCCTGTGTAGTTGAGGTAGGTAGATGTAGAATAAATGACATTTTCTTTGATTTTTACAGGTTTTTTCTTCATTGGCATGAAATTACCATATCCACACATTAGGTACTGTATTATTGGCGTGATATTACCGTATCCATTGACATGCCATTGAGCATTGACAACGACCTTGTCCACTGCAAGCTTCATATCAGCAACCATGTAGCATTTCTTCTGTATCTGTAAGCTTACAGGATGGCTTGTAATTTCACATCAGTTTAATTGGGTCAAGTGAATTCACTATAACAAAAAAAAATTGTAAAAAACATACTCAAAACAGCATGGAATATTTTAGTGACAACCATCATATTTTTTGGAGAAATAATCATAGTTTATGTTAATGACTTTTCATTCTATGTTGCTTGGTGCATAATTCTATCTATGACATTTCCATGCACAATTTTGCAATGACCAATGCATTACTTTTTTGTTAAGTGAAATTTTTTTTGCTGAGCAAGGTGAATATAATCAAAATTCTTTGTTGTTACTGGACTTTTATAGTTAACTGGAGCCTTTGCTAACCAAGGTTCTCCTGTAAATATCATTCTTAGTGGTTTCCCTCATTGCCCTGTCATGCAGAATTGGCAGCCATTTTTTTGGAATGAGCTACGCAAATTCCGTCAATCATATTTTAAGCCAACACCTGTGTGCAATTTTTATGTAAGCAAAATTTATTATTATAGCAAATATTTTTTCTGCTACAGTCCTTAGCAGAGGTACTTTTTCAAAATCTTACTTTCCACACTTTTATCAAGGATTCTTTAGAGGTAGTAAATGTATTATTTCTCAACATGCTTTATGCTATATAGATAGGAAAAATGTTGAGCTTTACCCCACTATTTTTAATTTTGCAATATTTCAATTAGTTTAGCTGCTACAACATTTTTGTGGAATGTCTAAAAACTGTCCCTTATTACCCTGCCCATCCCTTATTACACTTTTTGACGGTACTGTTAGTAATGGATGAGTACACTCTGCATGCTTCAAACCTTTCAAAATTAAGTATTTTCCATGTACCCCAAATTACCCCATTCTCCCTGGGGTTTTGGGATACTTTTCTTTTGCATCTGGCACCTTACAAATAGCATATGGAATTATTTGGGAAATGCCATATGATCATTATAATGAGTCCAAACATGTTTATGAAGGTTTTCATGGTAAGAAGTTATCAACAAAAAATGCTCAAAATTGTCCCTCATTAGCCAGCTTAACAGTACTTGTAATGAGGGAATTCATGTGATGTTAATTTTTATGTTTACTTGGAAATTCTCATTTCTGCCTTCTGGTGATGAATTTAACTTGTAACAAAATAAACAAATCATGGATAAATAGGGATACAACTTTTGTGATGAATTAATAGCATAAACACATGTCTGGTTCTTTAAATTCGCAATCAATGACTTTTGTACATCATACATTTCATCAGACTGATAGGACCAGCCAGTTCTAAAATTGGTTTTGAGCAATGAATGTAGCCAAATTATGATTTATATGACAATTATATGTGATAAGAGAAATACTTTGAACTTTCTCAATGTTAAAAGCATTGAAATCCATTCAAAAGTAATTTTGTATATATTTTCTTTAGGAATTTAGTAACTGAAAACCTGACTTTTATTATATTAATAAGTACTTTTATGTTGAAAATTTACAAATTTCTTGTCCGTTGATCTTTTGAGTTTTGAACTTTTGTTGTTGTTGTTGTTGACTGATGCTGTCTAATTTTTATTTCGTATGTCATTCTGTCTTGTGAGAGGGGTGCTAGTGTGCTGTGGACTGGTCACCAGTCTGTAAACATTGAAGATAGGTTTAAAATCTCAAACTACCATGTTCTGTTATAATTCAACTATGGAATTGCTTGATGTAATTAGGTTCTTTTAAAGAAACTACTATCCCCAAACAAGAAACCTTGCAGAGCAATTATAAAAATTAAATGAGAGCATATGATAAAACACTAGGAGTAGCTGTGGACAGTGAACTCTTACCTGGAAGTCGCACTCAACTACCTCAGTGTCATCCAGTAACCGAATTGTACATTTGTTTTCATCAATCAAATTCTTCTTACTTCCAAACTTCAACATGTCTATTTTAATAGTTTTCTGCTCCCTGCCCTTGAGCAAGAAAAAAACATTTAAATCTGAAAAAAGGTGTAAAATATAAATGCATTTAAATATTAATATTTATACAAGAAAAAGAAACACAACTTAGAATTAGTTAATAAATAATTGTGAATTAGTGAAGCCTGTGCTGCCTGTGAAGGTTTACTGGTTTAGTATGAAAGCTAAAATTTTAAAATATCACTGTATATTAAAATCAGTAATAGTGAATCATAGAAAAACTCATAATTAACATCTCACATGGCAATTAATAAGTGATGAGTCTGCTGAGCCAAGCCTCCAGGCTCCAAGGAGGGACACAGGGTGCAGACTGCAGAGTTTGCAAGCTGCATCACCAAGATATGGATTTTTAGCTCAAAACTTTTCCAGCCATTTACATGATGTGTTGCCGCTCGCCAGGTAATTTGTAATAAGAAAATGCTACTAACAACTTTGATAGTATATCCCTTACTCTCCATGCACAGCAACATAGCACTTACAATCATAACAATGATTTCCAGACACAGACAAGCTTCACTGCATCCTGATCCTGATCCATCCAAACGTGTCAGCAAGATCTGAACACATAATTTGTAAATTTGGCTGCCAATGCGTTGCCAAAGATCTTATTCAATATTCACCCACTTTTTGCACCTTGGGGATGCCAGACGGGGACTCGGGGAGGGACCATTGACCAATAAGCATTAATTAAGCAATATACAACATTGGAAGAATTTTGAGAAGACAAACCTGGTTCATTCTTCATGCCCAGGATGCAGAGGGTGGAAGTAGGCAAGTAACATCGGCTGTGTCGCCAATATATGGGTTTTTAAGCCCAAAGCATCACCAACTATTTTCAAGATGTGTCGCCTGGTAATTTTTAATGAAAAGCCATCTACGCTGAGTAATGAAAAACTATTTACAAGCCACAAACTTATTTACAAGGTTGCATGCACGTGTTATTCCAAATAACTAATTTTACCTTAAAAACAGTCCGATTGTACAGCAAGTGTCAACTGAACATGTGACAGATAATGCACTCTGACCGCTCTAATGTGACCGCAATTACACGACGTAATCGTAAACTTGTTTACATTTTTTAGGCGGGAACTCATCACAACTGACTTCCGGACAAGCTTTACTGCATCCTGATCCATCTAACGTACCAGAAACCTTACTTTTTTATAAATAGTTGGCCAAAGACTAACATATTAAATGCAAGAATTTCAATCTAAATGTGTCGGCAACATAGTGGCAATCGAGAACACGTTTTTTTTTTAAGGTAAACATCCCATTTCTGAATACAAATCAAGCCTATGCATTGCAGACTAAATTTATGAACGCGAATGTTAAACAATCATAATACAATTCATTAAAATCAGTTAACAAAAATCTTGGTTTTTACGCACCAGACACCTCTGACTCATACGCTAGTAGAATCGAGGCAGACAACAGTGCATGACTGGAAGCACATGCATCGACAACCATATGCGGCGCCAGTTCAAATCGCACTGCTGGCTGGCTGCAGCTGGCAACACGTATATTGACAACATGCATCAAGCTATGATTGGCCGTTCGGACTTTAAGTTCATATTTAGCTTAAGTTCTCTCGTTCAGAAAAGAAATAACAGGCGCGTTTGTCATAGCAGGAGACGTTCAAGTGCCTGCCTATCCGGATTTCCCTTCCAGATTCCGCTTTAGATTCAATTCCTGATTTAGAGCAAACACTGTGTTGAGGGGTTTTTCGCAAATGATATATCGATCCGACACTTTGTGAACAAATTTTTAAGATAAACTGACATGACAAATTTTCATGGCACGTTTTCCACGCATTGTTTTATGAAATTAAAAGCAATCTTTACCAAATTACAAACTAAACTATTCATTTGCAATGCCCTTGAGCGAATGAACGTGATAAATGATCATTTTTTTCACTTCTTCCCCACATTAATTAATTTTCCTCATTAAGCCTAAAATATCTCCCAAACTAATGAACTTAGCAAATGTTAAAAAAAACGGTGATGTTTAGGTCATGATCATTTTTTTCTATTTCACCTTTGTAGCGCCTTATACGGTTCTAAATTCGCAGTGAGCCTAACATATCTTCTATCCTCATGCACAAGCTTTTTGTGTACCTTTAATTAAAGGCGCAATTAAAAAATAATTGCGACCTAAACATCAATGTTAGTGAAGACGCGTGCAAAGTTTCATCGAGCTGCGTTCATTAGTTTGGGAGATATTTTAGGCTCACTGAAACTTGTAGATCGCAAGCCTGGTCGTAAAAGTGTCTGAGAGGTCTTATATATGCATATATATAATTCCCTGTATGCTTGCAATAGTGTATTTTGAATAAATAGCTTCGTTGTTGGAAAAGTTAAGCTCGGTTTTAATTATAAAAACTCATGTGCATGAAACGTGCTACAAATTTGCTTTTATCGCGCTAGTTAAAATTGAAATGAATTTTGACAGTGCTCGCAAAAAGTATTGTCTGTATATAGCTTTTTTCTTAGCTTTATCATGATTGAAATTACTTAATTATGCTCATTATACCTGCTATGAAAATTCTTTCCAAAAAATTCATCCTAAAATTGTCAGCGCGACTGGTCTGACAGTGACAGAAGTGTGTGTGTGAGCCATCCCATAAGCCTGGCATAGCGTAGCCATCTTGACGCCACTTCGGCACGATTTTTTTCTCCATTCGTTAGCAATAGATATGTAATTTAATGCAGACATGTAAATACTCATTGAGCAGTATCGATGTTTTTTTTATATTAACGTCCTCTCGTCTTCAATTAATACTGCAAAAGAGTGGAACCTAACCTAGCCAAACTTAACCAAAACTGTTTAAATTGGGAGTAGAGGAAATATGAAAAAATATCCATGCCACAAAGCAATTGGCATCGAAAAATGTGTATTTAATTTCATAAATATTGATTACGAATAGAATGAATGGGCCATGTCAAAACAGGATGGCAATAGTGCATGCTAACGCACAAGCAATTTTTTCGATGCTGTCATTTTTATTACCTATATTCAGGAAAATTTTTACAAGTAATAACACGTTTGAATAAGCAAACTGATATGACGGTTGCGAATGATTAGAAGGCATGATTATGCTGCCGGAGGTTAGTGCTTATGCTGCAATTAATTTCGTACTTTCTTCTGAGCGCAGGAAAATAACAGTCTAATCCGCGATCACAATGTAACGGCTAGTTGCACGTCTAAATGCGTACCACGCACAGTGACGCACTGGCATACATTTCGCAGTAATTCGATATAGACCAGGTCAAGAATTTGTAGTCGTTTAGTGTATCATTTAATAATGAACTTTTAATAAGGAGCTATTCCATTCGTCGTGCAAATTCACATACTAACAGATTAACATGACTACAGAAGTGGTATTTCAAATGATGAAAAGTGAAGTGAACGAATAGAGGTTTCCCCAAATCCTAGATTGCCACCATGGTCGGCAAGATCTTCTGAAGGCAAAAATTTTGCTCCTGAAGCATCACCAAAGATCTTGCAATATTCATCCACTCTCTGCACAGTGGTGAATCATGCCTGACAGGCTGGCGGTGGCCCTGATGCCTGTCATGTGTCACCTGATAGGCTGATGCCACTGATGGTGAATGATGGATCATTGATCATCATTCAAACGGTTAATGGTATCATACCTCATACTAGAAGCAGAAGATATTAAATAGTGATTAGTGACGGTTGTTTGCTGTGGTCCTGACTTCTGTGGGTGATTCAGCCACTCAGGGTGTCAGACTGTCAGGTCACTCAGGTGTAGTGTGGACTGTGGGTGTGGAGTCAACTTAGTCAACTCAGTCAAGCGTGCAGGTGCGCAGCCGTAGACCAGCAAATCAATGCTCAAATCAGCCCTGGAGCCAACATCAACCATCTAAATGCTATAGATATTGTCATCCTGGCACCTAAGCAGCTGTAGTCAATTGACCTATCTCACCACACGAACTTTAAACCAACACTGCTTCAGCACACAAGCTGCTACTCCACGTAGTTAATGGTCAATACGTTGTTCTCCAATCAGTCCAATGCTTTATAACCCATACCATCACTTCTTACACATGCTGTTATCCTAAGTGTTTGCTGACCACACTGCATTGCCGCAAATGTGAACTGTACCAAACGGTAATGCGTCATCACCTTACTTACTCGGTTACTCCGCAAGACTCCAAGACGTTAACCCCGCATCACTGTTTCCCTGCCTTACTATCCCCAGCATCGTCTTCCCCCCACACTTACCCCGACTCTCCACCATTATCGCAATAAATCGCATGGGTAACTGGAGGCTTTTCTCGCAGACCTTTGATGCTTATCAGAATTAGGTTAGGTTAGCATAGTGGCAAACCAGAGATTTTTTAGAATCAGTGCATTTTTAATTTCCTCAATTACTCAATATTTAAACCAATTTCTTATGTATGATAATGCTGGTATCCAATATCCATGATACTTTACTCAAGTTTACCACTTTACTGGTCTACTTATAGTAATCAAAATTGAACTTGTGGGAGAGTCTAAAAAACTCTCTGCTTAGCCACTATGTAGGTTAGGTTAGGTTAAGTTAGTTTACAACTCGTATAGATCCTCTTTTCATAGCGTAATGCAGTCAAGTGAGCAGAAACTAAGGAAAGCCGTCCAGCAGTCGGTGAAAAAAAGCGGGGAGACGGGATTAGCGTGGAGGTAGAGTTATGCCGGGGGAAAATGGCTGCGACAAACGGACGGGCTGGAGTACTGGCTGTGTATCAACTAATCAACAGCGGTATGGCTGTCTATTTGGCTTTTAACATATAATCCCTTAGTCTACTCTGCCCTTTAGCAGGCTTACGCACGGAAAGGAGGATGAAAAATATGCTGGTCTTGGGCAATGCTGGTCTCTGGCATGCATTCCAAGCGTTCGTGACTGCCACTGCGCACTGCCGCACTGCGTGTGGCGTGTGCGGTGTGTAGACACTGGACAGTGATATAACAAAACGTCTAAACTAAAGCTCCAAACTAAAGGCCCATAGCTTTCA